TTATACAGTCTATAACGCGAGAGAAAAATTAGCTTCTTAAAACATTCTTTCTAAGAGGATTAATATAAAAGATTATATTTATATATATATTTTTAAAGCTGGGACTTGAACCAAACTGTCAAACTTTTAAAGTTTAATTTACATGGTGGTTAATAATTAAAGTTTCAATTTGAAATGGTCATAAAAGGAAAACTACCGGAGCAAATGTTATCAAACTTGGGAATCGTGTAAAGGAGGTTATGGGAATTTATTTTCGGCGGAAAAAAAAAAAAAAAAAAAAAAAAAAAAAAAAAAAAAAAAAAAAAAAAGAGTTCAAAAACTCACCATCAGAGGAAAAATGGCGCTGTATACAATATTGTTAAATGAAATAAGATGTGAAAACATCTGTTTAAAATGTGTTTAATATTTTCCGAAACGTGTTACAAAGCATGTTCAATGTAGCGTCCAGCATTTTCCGAAAGCAAGTTAAATCATGTTACTGCATTCTAAACAGCAGCTCTTAGCATATCAGTTTGGTTTTGGTTTGGTTTATTAGATTACGACAAAGCACTCGAGGGCTATCTGCCTTAAGGGAGGGATTGCCTTTTAGAGGACTTTTTAAGGGAAACTGGCTCGTATACACGTTACACATAGCATATCAGGAGGAATGTTATCAGTGTATCACATTTTTCATTTCTGCCAAATTGTTTAGATTATCACCATAAACAGTGCTTTTGAGATAACCTCATAGACAAAAGTCACAGAGGTTGAGGTCTGGTGGGAAGAGGGGAAGTGTTGGCGTATAAGACTTTCATTCGTGAAATGTTGCCTAAGTAACTGTGCGACACACGTGAGGTGGGACCCAGCCGTGCATAAAAATCGTAGTATCTAAAATGCCACGTTACTGTAGTTCATGTATCACGAAACATTTTAATATTGACTCTAAGTGAGCTGCAATCGCAGTGGTCCAGCTGTCGACTGCTCTTCAGAAAAAAATGGTTCTGTTATAACACTAGCTGTCATTCAACAGTAAACAGTGTGAAATGACTGTTATGCATCGAATGCAGTAGGAGAATGCAATGAACTAGATAGATAACATGAGAGATTTCTTTGGCCCAAATCGATTAAAAGCGTTTTGAATCAGTATCTTCATGTTTTAGTGCCGAATTCAGGCTTCAAAAATTACAAATTAGCGATCTGTAAGAAAACGATTTCCAGATTGTACGCACTTGTGAGAGTGATTTGCGATCTCACATTTTCTAATCGCTAATTCGTGGTTTTCACGGACGAAATTCTCACTTACACGGATGGCGCACTCGACATTTATCGAATTTAACGTCTTTAAATAATAATTTGCTACTTCAAAGTTTCTTAAGGGTATACAACATATTAAACCCGTTTAACAAAGGTTAAGTTAGATTCGACCCATATTTTCGTTTAACAATATTGCATACAGCGCCATTTCCCTCCCTGAAATAAATTCCCATGACCTCCTTTACACGATTACCAAGTTTGATAACATTTGATCCAGTAGTTTTCCTTTTATGACCGTTTCAATGTGGAACTTTAATTATAACCACTCTGTATATTATTAAATTTTAATTTGAAGCTATGCATGCGTTATATGTATACCATGCGTAAAATTTTCGCTTTTATGGAAAAATAAAAAATCGAAGCAAATATACTTAGTATAATGGACCAAAACTGAAAACATTTTCCCTCCCTCCGAAAATAAAATATTGAAATTTCGAACTTGAATTTATTGGGTTATCGAAATATTTAATTTGACTTATCTTCTAAGTCCTAGTTCCGACAAACAATTCCGTCAAAAAATTCCGAATTACTTAAGCTGAAGTAAAAGATTTAGTATATATTCACTGTATGTTAATAAAGTAATCAGAGTGTAATAAAAATAGATTATAGAATTTATGCTGATGCAACTTTTTGTCTGACTGCACAACATGTAATGGAAAGAAAGGGCCTTTGTAGAGATCTATTGTTTTTGACAGATGCCTCTAAAAGTAGATGTCATACTCCTTTTGTCTCTTCAATGTCAAAAAAACTTTCCTTTGAGAGACAGCTTTAGTTTTGGTGAAAGAAAAAAAATCACATGAAGACAAATTTGAAGAACATGTAGGACGATTGAGTACACATACTTATTTTGGGAACACAAGTGATTCTCCGACTGGTTATTGAATAATGAAAAGATGCATTGTCATGCAATACAAAACATTTGGAATACCTTTTCCTGACTGAAAACGTAAGATTAAAAGTCATCTGTTTAATTCGCAGCCATTTACAAGTCAACTACTCGGGCAGTTGCAGAATCGTTTTGATCCTAAGCCTTGTAAGACAAACCTAATATCACTGGATTTAAACACTTCTTTAATCTTCCAAGAACGTTCCTTCTTTAGCTCATATTCCAAGAATATTAAGTGAATACAATTATTGCAAAACAAATTGAATATTCATTTGCACTACGGCTTGGGAGTTTACTAACGAGTTAACAAAACTTAAATTCTGCTTTTCGTGTCTAAGAATACAACAATATTTTAAATATTTACAAATAAAATATTAAATTGGAACTTTAATTGGAGCCTCACCAGTTGACTAGCATTTGAAGATTTTTAAATACTAATTGTTTGTTGTGAAGTCTAACCCAAGCTGCATGGTTGGTTTCCGTAGTTTTCTAGGTTCTCTTTACGAAGGTTCTCTATGAAAGCATCTTAATCAAATAGCTCCCATGTTCTTTCTATGTTCAAATAACCAACTAACCTAGTTTAAGTGCGATTTCCAAGTGAAGTTACTAGCAAAACCCGAATACTCATTAAAAATCATGTAGCTTGCCAATCTGGAGTAACATGAAAGATGCGGCGCCAATAATTGAATTGCTGTTACTGTACGCTCTTTCTAAACTTTGATGGTCATTCCTTAATTAAATAGCATACCAGCGGGCGAGCGGTAAAGACGCTGAACACTAGTAGTTCGGTCCGAGGTTCGAATTCCGTGAACGGGCTGGCCGAAGGGGCGTTTTCGTGGTTTACCCCATGTCTAATGTGTATACGAGCCAGTTTACCTTAGAAAGTTCTCCACGAAGGCATCCCTCCGTTTAGGCAGATAGCCCTTGTGTGCTTTGCCATAATTAAATAATCCAATCCAATCCTTAATTAAATATAATTGATTTGTAACTTCTACTAGAACTGACGGTAAGAATTGAAGTGCAAATAAATTATATCATGTGCAATCTTGATTAATATAAAATTTAAAATATTTGCATTTAGATAGAAAGTTTTTTGAAATATTTGCAATTACTTTATAAGAAGGATTTATTAATAACCGTAATAATTACTTATTATATTACTGATGATTAGGATTCAGTTCTTGACAATTACATTCTAAATTAGAATTTTAAGGATATAATGAAAATACGCTACGCATAAAAATACATTTTAGGAACAAAAAATGAGTTGATTTTTTATGTTTAAAAACTTCTTAAAAATTCATTTAATAAACATCGTATACTCATTGTTATTGAATCCAGAATGTTGGGTGTCGTTTATATAATTATTCTTACTTGTCCACAGAATCTGCATGAACTTATCCAGCCATTAAGTAGCTGCAGATCATTTCTACATAACCATTGAACTTCCATTAATTCAGTCTCTAGAGAGTTGTATGTTTATATCATAGTTTAACTTTGATAAAAATGATTTTTTGATAAAAATGATTATTCTAAATCTTATGTTTCTATAAAAATATATTGTGCTTTAAAAATATGGATAGTATCAGCCGCTCTTTCAGCCACTTTAAAAGCAACAGTTTGTTTAGAAATAAATTGTGCAGTTAATGTCATAAAATTCAAATAAATATCAAACGAAAATTCTCAGTTTTAGACAATTCGATTTAAACGAAGTAAAGTAGCAGACGATAAAACGCCGAAGGTAAAAATTTACTCTTAAATTTTTTAAAAAAAGAAAAGATACGAGAGAAATAAAAAAAAAAAAGTTAAAAATTTGAATAATATCATCTATAATTTAAAAAATAGCCTTTCATATAGTATTAATAAACATTTATTACGCATCATTGAGGGAAAAAATGTCATATAATTAATTCTCCGTAAAATTTTACTTGAAGTTTGAGGTTAAAAATAGCTGTGGCAATTCAGTGCAACAAAAATCCATAGACCACATTTGGCGTTATTATCGCTCAAAAAAAAAGGTGCCAGATTTCAAAACGCGAAATTATGTAAATTCGTGTATATCTTAGAAAATTTTGAATAAAAAAGTCTAATTTTTTGCAGATATGCTTAAAAAATACACCTACTTTAAGATGATGGTAAAAATTTTATAGGTTATAATTCAAATTTTTTTTCGAAAAATTTATAAAAAATTCTAAAAATAGAAATTTAAAAATAAACGCAAAAAATGGGTAAATTTTATTTGGAATGAACCAAAATTTCGAAATGTGAGAGAAAAAATCCAAAAAGTTTAATAAAAAAAGAGATATTGATAAATATTTACCAAATTCAATTAACATTGAGGAGCTAAAATTTTGAGAGCTAATATTTTAATATTTTAAAAACTATTCGTACGATTTTTACAAAACTTGGTATTCTGGCATAATTTGAGTCGTAGAATCGAAATATGTAAAAAAATTGGTATGTTATTTCAGAAAAAGTCCGATTTTGTGTCAAAATACCTATGTTAGAATAGTGCTATATATAAATCTAATATATATCCTAAGTCGCGCTTTCGAGACATGAAAAACGCAGTTTGAATTTTGTCAATCGGCCCAGTAGAACGGGAGATATAGCACTGTCCCATTTTTTTTGAGCAGTGTACATACTTATGATATGACAAGGAATTTCCAGCATGGAATCTCAAAGATAAAACAGGCCTGCCAGAATATCCTGCAGTTTGGCAACACAGAGTTAAAATATTTTTTAGTTTCCAGATTTAAAAAAAGTTTTATTTTTACAAACACAAGAATAATAATCTTGCTTGTTTGGAAATTATACTAACCCTGGGAAACTGCTGGAGGACTTTCTGCTTCAGGAGCTAATATATCTTCAGAAACTCTCTCTGTTACAACTTCTTCCTCTTCAAGCTCTTCTTCTTCTTCCTCCTCCTCTTCGTCATCTTCCCAATCTGATTTGGCAGATTCCACTTCTAACTCTGGTTGAGGACTTGGAGCATTTTCTCTAGGTGGTTGCTGAGTTGTAAACTTAGTAACATTATCAGAAGCATAGACAGATCCGTTTCTAAATAACGAAATGGTGGTAAATATAATTTGTACTTAAATATAAATATATTCCTTATTATAAAAGCTATGGAAATTAAAAATATTCCTTATTAAAAAGTTAACTATGAGAATTACCTCATAATTTCATTTTCATGATATCCAACATTATCATCATCTTGATTTAAAGCAGGTGAGGTCTTCTGATTATTCTGCTCTTCAACATCAATATCTATAAAAGAACAAAGTATATGAACAGAAATATATATAAGTAAATATAACATACCTGTACTTGAGAAAAACTGGCATTCTGTAAAGTTAATGCATGAAGTTTCTATATCATCTAGACAGTTCTAATACATATAAATTGTATCTAAGCTTTTGTTAATACAATACAAAGCTTGAGATCTGGAATTCCGAATGAAAAATTTTTATTATTAAAGGGTGCCAATGAAAGAGTTAAACTATAACTGACTTTACTGAATTATTATTAAAGACTAGCAGCTTCGCTGCCAGCCTTCGTCTGGCTATAAATGTACCGGAAAAATGGCTGAAAGAAACACCAAACGGTAAATTTAAAAACAGCGTAGAATTTTACTCTGCAGAACAACTTCATAAAAAAAGTTATTACGTGTAACAAAACTACAATGAAATAAGCAATATCCCTTAATACAAATATTAATTATCCTAATAAATAAATTAACCAACTTCTCTTTGCAAAATCTTAAGAACTCAAATGGTATAAAGGAGGTTAAGAACTTTGTTTCCTAAAAAAATCACTCAGAACTTTTCAAAATCTTAAAAACAGTGAAATGAGCAATAAATAACAAAATAATACAAAAAACAAAAAATTTCTTGAAAACAAAGTATAATTAATGATATTTTATCTTATATTTTCAAGAGAAAAAAATTACAATGAAATAAGCTATATCTCTTAATGCAAATAATTATTAACCTAATAAAAAATTAACGAACTTTCCGTTTAAGAAAAAAAATATGCAAAACTTTTCAGTATCTTACAAAAAGTGAAATAAGCAAAAAATAACATGAAAACAACTCAAAAAACATAAAATTCCGCGCAGAATTTTACTCTACAGAACAACTTTATCAAAAAAAATCAATAAAAATGTATATATATATATATAAATGACAATGAAATATGCCAATCTCTTAAAAACAGTGACATAAGAAATACGATGAAAAATTGTTGCCAAACCCATATTTCTAAAAGAATGAAACTATTCAAAATGATGAGATTTCTTCAAAAATCTATCAACAATAAGACAGGAAAATTGTTGCCAACATTACATTTTAAAGGAGATGAGAGATGTGAGAAATGTACTCGGAAGCTCATTTAAAATTTTTTTTAAAAAAATACAAAATATTATCATTTTTCCAAAATTCTTTACGTAAAAGCAGTTGCGAGGATGAAAGTTTAACGTGTCCAAAAATCAAAGAAAAATAAACTGTACATAAAAAAAAAAAAAAAAACCTGTTGAAAAGGTGTTAAGCTCACTTTGTTTAAAAAAATTCGTATTTAATCAATTTACTGAAACACTAAATTTATTTTAAGTTTGTAAAATACCTAAGTGCCTACGTTTCATGACGATTTGAAATTGGAATGTGTAGAGTTAATAAGCCCCGTCAATCTGCTTTTAATTAATTGGAAGTTCACTATATATTTATTAAAAAATTCTTATGCACATTAATGATGAAAATAATTTTGATACATAAGAAAGATTAAATTTTTAATCATACACTAATATAAAAAATCACTATATTTAGCAACATAAAAATGATAATAAATAAATAAATCGGTTATAAAAATTTGACATAATTTCAAATAAATATTAATGTAAAATACGCATATTGTCAATCAATTTCATTGGCAGGAAGTACAGTTTTTTTAACTGATTAAAAATTTAAAAAAACAATTAAAAAGTTTAGTTTGCTTTTTTGGACGGTGAGGGGAAGGACAGGCACTGTTCCATACCAGTGCTGTTTTCATGTTATCGAAAACTCCAATTACTTTCACAGATAGCCATTATAACAGATTTTATATTTTCTTATACAAAACAAGAAATACCACTTACTATCATGAAGTGGAAATAAGATTATGAAATTAATTTATTTACAACAGTTTTTTTTGGGTGCCTTTGCTAAAAATGAACTTAAAAAAATAAAATCCTGCTTTAACTATCACGATTACAATTAATGATTGTAGCTATTTTAAATATCAAACTTGAATGTCTAAGACATAAAACGGAGAAAAAGAAATATACAATCTCTATTTTTTTCCAATTATAAAAAATACTTTAGTACATTATCTTTAAAGATACCACCATAAATATCATTAATTTCTTAATATTTCACCATTAAAAATTAAATAAAATTCTTTTCGAAACTAAACAGGTATTAAAATACATAAAATGGTGATTAATCATCAGTGCTAGCAACATAATACTGAAGAATTCAGATTCGGGGAGGGGAAGAAGTGCTGCTTTTTAAAGTGCTAGATTTAATATTGGAAACACAGGGTCATTTCCCACATTTAAAAGACTGGCAATTGCATCATATTATTGTTTCCTTGAGAGTGCAATATCAGTCTGATGCTTGCTAAGTCACAGCAAAGAGATAATAAATTGACTGGTCTCATGCTAGGTGCTTTCAGAAAATGTGCAAGCGCCTGGCAGCAGTAAACTGAGGAGGAAATGAAAACTGAATATGAGATATTATCTCTGCTTTGAAACAAGTTAATTTTTTCAACTAACAGCGATACTGAACACGATGGATTCAGACAGCAACACAACTTAAAATTTGGTTAGCAATAAATGTTCAAATTTGCACTAAAAAAAAAAAAAAAAAAAAAAAAAAAGTATTAAAACTGAATATAATTTTCTGAAAAATTTGCAAAAGCCAGCACGTATGATATGTATAATTTTTTTTTCTTTTAACTTGTTTAATAAGATAATGTAATAACATACCACCCAAGGCATTGTCTATTTCTCCATTATCGTCTTCGGAAAAAATTTCATCCTGATAACGAAAAATATCATTTCTGACATAGTACTTCTTTGGTGACTGGGGGACTAAAATAAACGTTTGCATGAAGCGACGCATAGGCTGCCCATTGTTTGATAATTCACCAGATACCTGTAAAAAATTCCATAAACAATCAACAAAACATGCACACATTAATGCAGGTATGATTTGGTTTAACTGATCATGGAAAAGCATACAAGGGCTAATAAAGTATACTTTAATTTAATAACAGTTATTTTAAAACTAGTTTTTAGAATCACATTGAATGCAAATGTATTTAATGAGCTAGAAGTTATTATGTAATGAGTTATTGAGTTAGAAGGAGTATTTAAGGAAGGTTCAACTTACTTCGAGAGACAGAGTGCTAGGAATCTTGAGTAGCGTGTGTTTACCTTCGGACTAAGTTTCTCTAAAAGCTGTTAGACTAGGTCGTGTATTATGTGTCTTTTGATATTTGCCTGCTTGCTAATTTAAATTCAGGGCCAACTACGTTAGATTTGTGTTAGTTTCGGCGAAGTCTCCTTTAGTTAGTTTTAATTTCTCATTTTTAAGCCCAAGCAGAGGCTTTGTTGTAAGCCTGAGAAAGGGGCCAACTGCTCATCTTATTGAGTGAAATAAAGGGTAGTTAACCCTTCTTGTGTCTACGTCTTCTTCACTAAGTCCCTCAACGTTTACTGTAGATAAAAAGAGTGAGGAACTCTAGAGGCTAACTGCCTTAATGGAGGTCTTTCAAAGGTAAACTGACTTGTATCCACTTCTCACATGGTTTACTGCATGACTACATAAAACAGACTGCTTTTCTTAATATTACACTTATCAAAACTTGACTTAACCCTCTAAGCGACAAAGCCGTATATATATATGTGGCCTAGAATACTTTTTTGAGATATGTGTAAGAACATATATATAAGTGCATATTAAAAATATGTCAAAGAAATTAAGGCAATATATCAAAAGTACACAAATCCAGGTATGAAATACCAGGAGAGTTTTTACATTAAAAAAAAAAAAAAAAGTTCTCATAGTAGTTTTGGGAAATTTGTGCTTTCTTAGCGAAAACCCTGGCTGCTTAGAGGGTTAATACTACTGAAGAGTATTTGGTTTTTAAGTTTTTGTTCCCTTAAGGCTTTTATTTTTAAAAGAATTTATAAACAAAAAAAAAAAAAAAAGACAATGAAGATTTTTATTGGCAAATGTTGCCAAGGTATAGTCGTCACAGTACATAAGTACCCAAATTATTCTAACACAACAGACATATTTAAGAACTGCACAAAACACTTATAAACACCGAAGACACATGATTCAATTTATCAATTTTTAACTACTTAAGTATATTTTTTTTGTACTCAACATTTGATTTTTCCAATAAAAAAATGTGACAATTTGTGTACCCAAATCATCAAAATAACTTGACAGTTAAAGGGTTAAGCAACCCTTAGGCACACTGAAAATATCAAATGTCAAAAACTTTTAAATTTAATATTTCAGCAAAATTTTGTCGTACAGTAGTCGACTTTTTCTTACACAAATTGTCTTAATATAAATACATGGATCATACAAAAAGTTACATTTCATAATTTAATTTTAAATTTTAAACTACAAAAACACTGTCATTTAAAACATTTTCGTAATTGGAAGTAACATAACTCTAAGACCAACAGTTACACAAAATAAAGGATGGGTTAGTAAACACTGGAAAATCACCTTAGAAAAATTAACAAGCTTGACAATTTTATATACTTCCCAAAAAAGAGAATATGATACTGCACAGAAAATATCAAATTTATCTTTCTCAAGAGTAAAAAAAAAGTTACCTGTACGACAACACCGTCATTCAGTGTCTCTTGACTATCCACTTGTCTAATTTTTGCATGACAGTCACGGAAATTCAGCTGCATAATACGTTCATGTATATCCTGAAAAATTATGACTATTTTAATATATCAACAATAGCTTACAAATTAGGTTAAAATTAAAGGAATTTGTTAGTTATCAGGACCAAATTCAGAAAGATATGCATGTACACACATACATACATATATACATTTCTGAATCTGTTTCGAATAACACAAGAGTACAAAATTCAATTATTCACCCTACGCCCCCAAATTATCCACAGTACACATCTTTTGCAATAAAGGTATACACCACGGTAGATTTTCTTTTTTGCCAATTAGACAGTAATACAAACCAATATTTTCAAGTAACATTTCCTTTCAAAAATATTTGCTCACTTTCATTTTTACATTATATGTAAGGATTTTAACTTTATACTACATTTTAATGGCATTATGTTAGATTGGCGCAGCAAATATTTACTCAATTCTGATGAAGAAATTCAAACCAGTGATTCCAAATTAATATAAAAATAATAATTTTCTTTGTAAACTCTGCTGTGCAATTGAGTAACAATTTATTTCTGATCTCTTTTTTTGATTCATGACCTAAACCTCAGCTTGAAATACAATATTATTTTTTAAAGATTATCTGTCACTTGATATTTTAAAATTTTTTTTTGACTTTAAGCAATTTTGTATTTATGTGAATGCATAAATGAATGTACTGATTTATAATTTCAAATAAGAGAAAAATTGTGGATTATTATGGAAACCACAAGAAATTTCTTTCATGGTGGTATATCATCTATCCAAGAAGTCCTGCATTTCACAGAACAGACATTATCTATAAAAAGCATAAATAAATATCAGAATGAGCGATTTGGGATTTCTGAAAATTTATGGTGTGATTGCAAAATGGATAAAAATCTTAAAAACTCTGAACTGATGGTATATAACTAATGGCCAATGGGGTCTCAAAATTGTTTTGGGGGATACACTGCTATAAAGTTTGGATACCACTGGCATATTGTATGTTAAGTACAATGTTGTTTACAACAGTGAAAAGTAAAGGTGCTATAAAATTGGCTAGGAATGTGAACAGGGTTGAATTGGTTGCCAAACAAAGATCAATGATGTTTAAATTGTTTTTGAGCTGGACAGCAGGAAAAATTTATGCACAGTACAAAGTCCGTAATCCGGAATGATCTATAATTCAGACCACAAAGTCACAAACTTTATGCATGCACGTAAAGAATGCTCATACATTACACATGCGCGTAATATATGCTTTACGCACAAGCGCATTGAAAGAAATGTTCAATAACGTAAACAAATAAATATTAAGCTTTTTTTGGTAAAATTTGATACCCTTTAGATCATAATTGCTCTTTATTTTATAAATTACGGTTTCATACTTTTAATTGTATAATTTCTGCATGTCATCTTACCAGATTTAAACTGATGATCTATAATCTGGAATCGCCGAAGTCCTGATGAGCCTGGATTACAGATTCTGTACTGTATAATGCACAATGCTTCATATATGTACTGTATATATTTCACCCAATGCATTTATATTTTAGTATTAAACAATGTTAGTTACAATCCCCTTATTTCTTATGGAAAAGTTCATTTGGTATACATTCAAGGATCCAGAATGGTGATTAGTGACATACATTGAGCTATCACTATACATTATTGCTGTGTGCGTACGGGTTCACAGTAGGTTGAGTGCACACAGCTCTGATGATAGTTGATAAAATTTATTTTATCAAAAGAAAAACATTTCAGAGTTCTGGGACTTTCAACAAAATAGTTATACAACTCTTCACATTAGTAAGGATGTTAAACAGAATGCAATGCAAAGCTCGTCTAATGCAAGAGTGAAGCTCACCGGAGATATCTCAACACCCAGACTCATGCTGAACTAACAACTAAAAGCAGATGCTCTTTTCGGCCTTAAATAGTTTTCACGCAGTTGCAATGGAATGTCTAGTCCTTCCCAAAATCACTGGAAGGCACATGAGGCAGGGTACGGTTACACTTGATCTGAAACCAATTATAATACTTATTAGGGTGATACTTTGACAGGACCAAAATGCTGCCAAGTTTGGCGACTTCTTGCTAGATTTGTAGACAATCGATCGCCAAAACCGTAGCCAGCTTGGCGATATCTTACCAAATTACTGAGATACCCATTTACTCAATACTAAACAGACTTGCCTCTTTATTCTCACTTTTCCGGCAAGCTTTGCTTCTTTATATTTTCAGGTTGTATTATACAGGGGGAGGGGAGAGAACTAGAATTTCACATATAATTGCACTCAAATCATCTACCTATATACAAAATTCATAACATCATTACCAACAAATGTTATTTAACACAAACTGAGGGACATATATTACAAGATGAAGATATTGATTGGAGCACATATTTTACTATTCTATTTCTCCAAAAGTTTATACTCGATGGTTAGTGAAACAGTTGAGGTGCTATCCATATACAGTGAGCGATGCTATCATGGAATATTTTCTCATAAAATATCTGTGTGTGTGGGGGAGGGAATAGGAACTTCCATAATTTTCTGTATGCATACAATACAATGATAAAAAGTAATGGAAATGATTAATTCAAAATACACACATGCATGGAATTGCTACAACTCTCATAAAACTTTACGTAATTACCAGTATTTCAATTCCTTTTTATCATCTCCAAATAATTTTTTTAAATCTCTGAGCATCTCCAAATAATTTTTTTAAATCTCTGAGCGTCATGAAGGCTTTATCTGGTCATGAGATTTTTTGTCACTTGTTATATACAGTCAAAAGTCGTTAATTCGGACACCCATAATTCGGAATGATCTATAATCTGGACATAAAAACTAAAAACTTTCTGCGCATGCGCCGCGTTGACACATGCGCAAAGGCGTTCACGCGTGCGCATAAGACCTTTTACGACTGCGCATATGAGTGTGCGCAAGTGCAGAATACGTTTTCGCGTGCGCATTTTATGTATAATGGATGTATAAGCTAAAATTATCTAATTATCTATTTCAGTTAATGTTGATGATTGCGTTGTTCCTTAATTTTCGAATTGCATCCGGCTTATTATTTTTTGCAGACTGTAAGAGCAATTTTATAAAAGTAAGCTTAAACTTTCGATTATATCAAATAGAATTTCGGATATATATTTGTTAATATGTAAAGGATCTAAAGCGAAAGCGTGTTTTGAAATCCGAAATCTGTTTATCAATTTCACACTGCTCGGCGGGGGGGTAATGAATTGGAAGTTGATTTGTCAGCACTATCCTTATCTTCAGCGCAGATGTTTTTATTTTATTTGGCTTATAATTCCTTACGAAGCGAAGAAAAGTGACAGAGGTTATTGAAAACAAAAAAAATTTCGATTGACAAATTAGTCGGTGTTCTTGACACAGCAATTATAGGACTTGAACGGCGGAACTTTGTAACTGAACAAGAAATCATGTCTGTTTAATAGAATTAAAGAGAAAGTATTATCACATGAAACGAAGCAAAACTTAAACAACTTACATTGAAAGAAATGTTTTAAAAGTAAACAATAAATATTAAGCTTTTTTCTTTTTGCAAATTTTGATACCCTTTAGATCATAATTGTTCTTTATTTCATAAATTATGGTTTCATATTTTTAATTTTAGAATTTCTGCATGCCATCTTACGAGATTTAAACTGATGATCTATAATCCGGAAAAATCGATAATCCGGAATCGCCGAAGTCCCGACGAGTCCGGATTAACGACTTTTGACTGTATTAGCTTATAATTTAAGATATTTTGCTTTCTTACTTTTATTAATAATATAATGCCATCTTGATGAATGTAAATTTATGAAAATAGGGACTAAAATCCGTAAATATACATATTTAGCTAATAATAAAGGCTCTTTAAATACAGGTCTTCACGACAGATCTAAAATCCAGGCTATCTAGAGGGTTAATTTATAGTTTTTGCTCTGGATATTTTATAAAATAAAATATATAGATGAGCAAAGGATATGTACTACTAAACAGTTTTCACAATGAAATTTCCAGTACAAAAATGTTTGAAAAGCAGAAAAAAATCTAGGAAACACTAACAAAAACATAGTTTCCGAGAAGTACAGTGTTTTGAGGAAAGCAGAAAATGCGTCAACAGGGTTCATAGCCACATTTTAGTTAAAAAAATAAGCACTTTTCAAGCACATTTTAAGGAAAAAATAAGCACCTGTTTAATTATATTATACACAACTGCATAACCTTAAAAGAAAAATTAGACTTGTAATTTAAAATATAAGCAATGCAATATTTATTAAGAAAATGAGCATTACCTCAACCATGGAAAACAAATAACTTTTTTTAAAATTTTAAATGGCAGTTTAATTTACAGAATTAGTTTACAATGAGAAGGAAAAAAAAAAAAAACTATGCAGAACTAAACTATATTACAAGATTTAATGAAATTTCAGTTCAAAATATAGAAAATAAATAATAATAAGCCATATCAATTGTATTCGTTTGGCACCTAATAAAAAATACAATTTATTTTCCCACTCATATTAATATTTAAATAATTTAACTTAAATCAAAATTCTGAACAATTTCTAAATTTTCATTGCATAACAGTTTTCCCTTAACATATATTCCAAGCAAAGTAATTTCAGTAAAAAAGAAGCACATTTCTGAAATCAGAAGACGGGAAATTGCTTCATGCAGTCTCCTTTAACAGTAAAAGCTTAACTAACCCGCATACTCGGAAATTGCCAAATATTCCAGATAGTAACTGGAAAAAGAGGAGTGGGGGGAGATAATAGCCGTTCTTTAGATTTCTCCGCTAAATAAATGATTTTGACATTACCATATGTATTCCATATATATATAAAAACAGACCAACGGAACTGAGAAATATTCCACTTAGAAAGCACAGAAAAACTCTTTTAAGTGTTCATAAACAAATCTCAGGCGGAACATCAAAATCAAAATTAATTAACTCTGCAAAATACCGCAAATGTTACTGCGCAATACGTGCTGCGTAATTCTTCCACATGCGATATTACGCAATCCAGAATCAACAGCTGCCGGTATTCGGAGAATAAAGAACTAAATAAAGGAAAAGAAAGACTCACTAATTTGGGGTGTTTCCGATTCTAATTTTCAACAGACTGCGTTAAATTTCTGGAATAGAATCAATCTTTGCTTAGGTTGGGTAGACCGCAAAAACTTTTAGTCCTATTCAATCCAGATTGGACAGTGACCAAAAAAAGGGAAAAGTCCGCTGCTTCAATATTCAGAGATTTTGCGGAGAAAGGTGGAGAACCTCCCAACCTCCGTACTGTAAAATGTATTGGGGGGGGGAAAATTATTTTGACTATTTGATTACCTTCCTTTTATTTAAGCCATTCCGAATATTATTCCCTAGAAAGCTAATCTGTGTAAAAACACACCCATTTTTGGAAGTTTATCTACACTTCAGCAGTTACTGCAACTATATTATAAATATCCATGCATATACTCATAATATAAGCATAACGATCATAATAAACACGAATATGAACTGACCATGCGGAACGAGAATGCAAATTATTAAAATCTTGATAGAAATTCAAATGTGTGTAGTATTTGGGTGGAAGGAAAAGAATACCGAATGTAACGGAATTTTCTACCATTTTCGCAATTCTTTGACCAATAGAACGACGTGCACCTGTCTGTACTCTCGCACACACCAGCAACCATAGCACCAGCACCATAGGTTACGGTAATGCAGAGAAAGGGGGGGAAAGCAATTTCCTGGGAGTATTATTCACCATCTGACATTGCATATAAGGAAGAAAAGTTGTTTATTTAGGTTTCGGGGAAAAAATTGCGGTTACATTAAAAAAAAAAATGCAGGATTAAAAAAAACACTAAAAAGTAAAAAAAAAGCACTAAAAGCAAAAAAAATAAGGGCTTTAAAGAAAAAGTAAGCACCTATAAGGGCCTTTATATTTTATTTTCAAACATAAGGACTTATAAGCACTTGTAAGGACCGCTACGAACCCTGGTCAAACATGAACCATGCTTTGGTACACTAAAAAGCAGATTAATAAGCAACTAACCTTTCAAAATCAGATATTTGGTACTATCATACATTAACTAAAAGGAATATTATTGAGTAAGCTCAATTAGCATATAGTTTCTGCTAAGCATTTGAACTTATGATGTGCCAATAAATAATTTTGTTAAAAAGTGACTACTAATAATAATTACAAAAATAAAAAAAGTAAATAAAAATGATCAAGGGATGTTGTGCACATCATGAATATTTTTATCAACTAGCCAAACAACCAATAAATTATATTCCAATGTTAACAGCAGCAGTTTGAGGAAAATGAACTAAGACACTGTGAGATAACTCACAGATTTTGCACAATGAAAACGCAATTTCTCACAGTGCTTTCTGTCCAACAATGTACAGCTACCAACTTTGAAAAGTGAAAAATAAAGTTTCTGAGAGATGTTTTGCACTGTGCAACAACACAATTTTGAAAGAATTCCAAACTAGCTTAAATTCACTTTTCAATGCATGCTTCAGGTCACTGCACTTTTTGAAACATGTTTCTAATGTAAAATGTATCTAATTATATATTCTAAACATTATATTCTTTGGCTGATTTCATTTTAAAACTTTCTTACTTTTATGGTGAAAAAATAATGGGCAGGTAAGGCAATTTACATACTTTTAAATATGATAGAAACAATAAAATTAATGTACATACTACTGTGGAGTAATATACTATTTATACACATAAAACAAAATTAAATATAAATTAACTGATTAAACTTTGGTGAAATCTTCATAAAATTTTACAAATCCATACACTAAATTACAGTAATTCAGATTAAATAAAATTTAATAAGAACAATTATACTGAAAATTATTAGGGATGGGAGAATGTAATTTGCAGTTTTGAAATTTTATTTATCGATGGGAAACATTCTACTTAGTAAAGCTAAAAATTAAAACTAAGATTCAGTGGTCAAACAGGAGATGTGATGAAAAATGGAGAATTGGCATCCATGCAACTAAAAGTTCCAGTATTCAGCAGATATGCGACCAAGTGATCTTTTCATACTTCCATGCTTAAAACTGCTATTTCATGACCCCGATTTAGAGTCCATTAATGCCAAATAATAATAAAAAGCTGGAAGTCATAAAACAGTTTCAAGGAAATGATTTGAAAACACATTTTAACATTTAGAAAAATCATAGGTATAAAACACTGCTGTCAGAGAGGATTTCTTTGAATTGGATGTCAAATATTAAGCAATAATTTAAAATCTTGCACGAAATTCACTTCATCATACTAACAAATCATGGTGAAAACTTGAAAAACTCCCTCCCTCATTCAACATAACTAGATTACAAGCTCAACTATTAATATTTGGTAGTTTTAGATCCTCAGCCATTGACGATGGTCAATTACAAAGGACAAATGCTTTTGGTCCATAAATAACAGACCTGCATGCTTGAAATATAAATCCATACTTTAATAAGCATCAATTTCAAACATAGTCATACATAATTTTTTTGTTGTTGGGCGTAGGGGATACAGATAAATTCTTCCCAATTTTAAAGTTAAACATGAAGTTTTCTGGCAGTATGTCTGAAAAAAATTCATTAAACAATACCTTTCTTCCAATCAAAGTTACCTGTTGTCCTACTACAGGTCGAGTTTCTTGCCCAGGTCGATCCAATCCTCCATGTAAGAAAGATGAATCATTATTATAAAACCTAAAAAGATATACATATGATCTATTAGAATTATGATATACAAGATCAAATAAAATATACCCTAATTTTATATTTGTAACAAAGATTAATAAAATTTAGATTGGAATTATAATCTCTTTCTAATAAACAACAAAGAAAGTATTGAATAATGCTGCAGGTTAGAGTAGAAATAACCAACTTGAAGGGCCATGAGCATATATTTTCAGCAACAGCAGATCAATTAAGCAAGAATTTATTATTTTTAATTGTTACCAATGCTAATAACATACATGCCAACCTTGAAATATGAAAAACTAGGAGATTCTCACAATATGTGGAGGCACTATTTCAAAAGAACTCCAAATTTACTTAAATTCACTTTATATTGCACGATTCATCAACAGTTTGCAATATAATTTTAACATAAAATTTATAAATATTGCATGAAAAATTCTAGGTAAGGCAAAAAAATTAAAAACCAGGAGATTCTGAGCTGTGTGATGAAAAACCAAAAATCTTTGAGTAAAACTAGGAGACTTAGAATCTATGTTACATGAAGGAAAGCGACTTCCCTTAAACCAATTTACAGTTCTGTTCCAATACTCTTGTCAGCAATTTTATAACCGTCATATTCCCACCTTACATTTTCTGTCATATAGTTTCATTACACAAGAACTGGAGCACTCATACTTCAAAAAGAAAAAAAAAGCAATCATTTGAGAACTCTTTTTTTGGCACATATTTAATATCTCGACTGTTCTGGCCTACTCACATTCTGGTTAACATATTATTTATTCAGTACATATAATGTTGAAGAGTCATTACATATTACTTTTTTCCAGTTTACTGTGCACCATTTTGCCAAAAAATTTTTGATCCAAGGTAGCAGAAGCTCATCATAAATTCAGTCTTCATGAATTTTGTTAAGCTATGGCCTGCGATTTCATTTTTTTGATGGTTTTGTTACATATGCACATTAGTTTTGACAAAAACCTTAAAAACCATTCCTAATTTTTTATTATACAACTTTTTTTTTTAAAAGAAATAATTCTTAGTTAATTTTAAGTTGACATTTTAAGTTATTTTTCTCAAATCCAATGTTAGATGCTCCCTCATTTTTGGATTGTTAATTCCGTTGTACCACTCTTTTGAGTTGGCAACTAATTTTTTTTTAATTCATTGTTTCTTCCATTAATTTAATTGTTAATGATTATCAGTTAATATTATGTTTTCAGTGTTAAACTTATTTCACTTCATCAGATTCTGATAACTTATGATCTTTCATTAGTAAATTTGAGTGGTTCTATAGAAATCTGATGGTACTTTAATTTTTTAGTCTTTAGAGAATTTCAATGAATCTTAAAAAATTGCATTGGTACTTTACTTTCTTTTTCATTATAATATCGAATGAGCATATATGCTTATAATAAGACATCTGTAGACTCAATCAATATTAGAGAAAATGATGATTTATTAACTTCAGTTACTTTGGGCAATTCAAGTGAAATGACTCTCTTTATACTCTCCTTTGTAAATATAAAATTTCAGGTGATGAAATTGATGACCATATAAACTCAAGGAAAGCAACAAACATAGAAAGTTTCAATTCAAATTGATTTATACTGTTCACTTTTCCAAATCTATTTTTTATATTACTCTGAGGCATAATTTGATGAGAATTTTGCCTATGCTTTAAAGAATGAATTGAGGTATATAAATTGGTTTTATATGCCCCCAGTTCACATTTATATCGCTTGAAATAAGTTTTTGGCTTGTCGTGTTTCATTCTTTTCTGCCAGTTCACGAACATGAATATTTTAAAGCAAGCATTTTGAAAGGTGGTGACTATTATTTCGTGTTACTCATAGTTCATACATTAGTTAACATAGCAGCCATAATATAATACACAAACTTTATCACAAATCATCATAATAGTAATCAAAGTAATCAATGAAATACATGAAAGCATCAGAAATTTGTGCTAAAAATTGAGCCCATATGTGTTATGATCAAAGGATTCTCAGTTTCCAATCTAAGCTTAAATAAATCATCACTTTTTATTATAAATTAATTTGAATGGAACTACTCTGATATGCGCCCTCAAGTCGCCAAATCTTTATGCTTCTAAATTTTTTGTCTACATTTTGGAACTTCTAGCCTAAAATGTCTCCAAAAACGTGGTTTTCGCACATGCAAAAACTACGTTTTCAACATACAATTTAGCTAAAAATCCGAAACAAAAACAAAAAATTTAGATAGCAAAAACTTAAAAGTTTCTAACCAAAAATATTTGACAAGAATCCATGTACACAGCGACATGTTTTAACTTAAAGAAAAACATCTATGAATGTCACAATGTAGGCAACGAACGAATCTACAAACTACGCACACCTCGCTTTAATAAATTAACATAACAACAACAAATTTCAACAATACCATGTACACAGCATCCTGTTTAAACTAAAAAAAATTCTACGAATTGCACAATTTAGGCAAGGAAGGAATCTACGATCTACGCACTTCTCGCTTTAATAAAATAACATAACAATAAATTTCAAATAATACCATGTACACAGTGTTCTGTTTCAACTTTAAAAAACATCTGCGAATTGCACAGTCTAGACACTAAACAAAATAAACTAAATTTCAAACAATTTAAAAAAACAACAATAACAACAGAAATTCATACTAAAGGAACCAATGAACATAACATTCTACAAAATAAGAACAAGCATAAAATAAAATGCACTTACCATGAATTAATGCGTTTTCGAATAGCAGAAATATAAATTTCATACCGCCTTTAACATGCCGCCATGTAATCGCTATCGTATTTACATGACAGCCAGCCATACTATCCAGAAAATTTATACTATGGTTCACAAATAAATAAAATCACAAATCCCTACTTCTATCATGCACTGCCATTAAAAATAATCTCCCAGACCCTCTTTCCACATTTCCAAATACCCACTAACCCTCAACAGGATAGCCACAATGATATTTCCTTTTGCCAAACTTCAATTCAACAACTACCATTTTCTTTTCCTCCCATCTTCTCAGACACAGAGGCGAATCAACAAGCTCCAGCGAAAGATTTTTCAATGTCAACAGGGTTGCCATAAAACACGCAAGCGTGCCAAAAACCAGTGCAGAACACATATCGCCACATTTGGTGAAATTAGGGCGTATATTAGAGTTGTACCATTTGAATAGATATATTTTAACATGTACACATTTTACAATATATAAAAAAATTAAAGTAGCAAAAACAAGCATATTGAAATGATGGAATAACAGAAAATTTGCTAAATCTCAGACATATATTTTAGTAACACTGGTTGTCCAACATGGTAAATTTACAAACAGTCACACAATCTGGCAACACAGTCATTTTTCAGCATGAATTCAACGAACATCTTGACATAAGCAACTCTTATTAATTGCTACAACCAAATTTTTTCTCAGCTTTCAAGCCAACATGGTAGCTGTTCTGTTAACCATGTTAACAATACAGTAACAGATTAAGATATACAAATGATAACTTTGAAAAGGATAATGCCTTCTTTTAAATATGAAGAGAGTTCACAGTTAAGATTTAATACTTTTTCCCCATCAAGCCAGCATATTTTTTTTTTTTTTGTTGTTGTTGTTGTTGTTTTACATTAACTGCTTGATAAAATTTTTCAGACAGAACAGTTTTTTTTTTAAGAGATAACAAGAAAGATTTTTAAATGCCACTTATACATAGTCTGTTCAATAGATTGTTTGATTTGACTGCATAGCATTTTGATAATTTTTAAATTTTTTTAACACTGCTTTCTTTTAAATTCTTAATCACAGGATTTTGGAATTAGCTATAATACTGAACTTTCCCAGGACTATAGTATACCGCCATTCACAATTATGATAATTTGGTACTTTTCTATTATCGAGATCAGATTCAGAGCTGTATGTATGTATTTATGCATGCATACATACATACACACATACATGCACACACATATTTCTCAACCTGGTCCCGATAACAGAAGAGTATCGATAATTTAGCAATGAAATGATACATCATTAAAGAAAAAAATGCTGAAGAAAATGAATATTCATAAATACAGATCAAATGTAATAACGAGGGAAGGAAACTGATTTTAAAAAAGCCAAATCATGAGTAAGACAGTCTTGTCAACACAAGAAATTACAAATGTTTGTTTATGAATATGAAAAATTAATCAGACTGAACAACTTAAGCAAATCAATGGAAATGGCACTCCTTTATATAAAAACTGTATACATAATTACAATTCAGTTTTAAAACCTGAAGTTATAAACAATATTTGGTACTATTCTCTTACTAGGGCTGAATTCAGAAATGCATGAATATATATGCATGTATGTATGGATGTACATGTTCATATATTGCACATGCATATATACATACATATATCTGTCTATTTACACAGACATATTCGCACATACATTCCTGAATCCGTCCCAATAACAAAAGAGCACCCAGTATTTTATCAAAACATAAAATAAAATTCTTAACATTACCTGTGCAAATGTAGAGGAGCCTTGTTTAATAAAGTATAATACTGCCGAACAAATTCTCGGCCCACACACTGGGGAGTAGGTATGTCCATGACCATGTCTTGTATCTAAAAAAATTAACATTTTATTTATAACAAGCTGTAAACAAACACAATGAAAAAAATAAGGGGAAGGGAACTTATTACCTTTCTGAACATGAGGTAGTAAATAAAAATGGTGCTTTATTAGTAAAAAGGACACCACTCTTAGTTACCATATCCGTAATAGGTAACGTTCTGAGGTTCAGTCAAGACTACAACTGCCTTAGAAGTTGTTGCCAAATTTTCAAAATGTGCCTAACTCTAGCAACTATGCCCTTAGCTATTCTTCTGGCAACATGCTTATAACACTTCTGCTAATCAATGCTGCCATTTTCATTTTTTTTTATTCCAAGTTCCAATAGTTTTTACAAATGATAGTGATATGTAAATAGTGCCTTAGTTTTAAAATATGGAAGAGTAGTAAAATTTCTGTTAAGAATGCAGAATTTTCTAAAGGGAACAACAGGGAAATGAGTTTTCTCAATAGCCACTATTGCAGAAAAGTGCACAAAACAAAGTCTTTTTTTAAAGTGAAAACAGATCCCTGTATACTTAGGGAGAAGAACAGTGGGAAAAAAATTACAGAAAAGTTAAGAATTAATGAATCAAATAATCCTTATTTAATAATTCAAATTTCTAAGAATTAATGAATCACATAATCCTTATTTAATAATTCAAATTTCTATCTTAAATTGCTAAAGTATGTTTTCTTCATATGTTAATAATGTTTACTGAATGATATAAATATCAACAGTTTAGGAATTCTTAGGGGGCAAAAAATCAACTTGTACCAGATTACCTTTTCATCAGCAAAACATTGCCAAATTGCACTGCACGTTAACATGCAAGTACTATGCAGTTTTCAACCTTTTAAAATGCTACTAAAAACAAGTTTTTTAAAAAATTACTCATTATATGTAGACAAAAAAAAAAAGTTATTTCCTCATGAGCATGAAATTTTGCATACTAAGGAATGGCACTCCAAAATAGCCAAAATAGTTACCAAATCCAAAATAAAATACTCAATAAAGATGTTTCTTTTTTATTTAAGTTACCAAAATGTAAACAAAAAAGAAAGCCTCTGGAGATGAAATGTGTGGGTAGTGCCATCTTGATGATAACTGGTGTTATGGTTCTTGATTCCCCCCCCCCTTGTGGCACTATGCTTCTGGAGTTATCATGCAGGAGCTTATTTCTATTAGACGGTTATATGATACACAGTGAAACCTAACTAAATACAAAATGATTCAGTGTAACAATTATACAAAGGAAGTTTTTATTATTATATAAACATTTAAAATTGGTAAATCTGAAAAAATTAAGAATGATGAAAGCCTATTCATCAACAGAAAAGACAAAAGCGGCAGCACTTTATTGAAACATGTTTTAAGAGGAACTTGCAGAATGAACCAATTTTTTTTTATGCAAATACTCAATAAAGATGTTAAAACTATAATGAGGACGTTTAAAGAACACATGCATGAAAGAAACATAATTTATTCAGATTGTTGGCAAATTTATTATTTTCACAATTCCAAAGTCTTGTAAACATTAGTTGAAAACTGACAGACTTAAAATAACCATGAAATGGCAAAATAAAAGACAAAGGGCAGCGCAAACTAGAGTTAACATTAGGACATCTATCAAATTAACATCACTACAAATAAATGTTATTTCTTCCCTTTATTTTCAAGGTTCCTACAATGTTTTCTACTTTTCACCAGGCTAGTATTAAAAACTGCCACAGGCCTATAAACAATGGCCGCTCTGATAACGAAATATCATAAAAATTCATTCTTAAAGTGATTGAGAACCATTGTTGCAATTGGTTTTGAAATGTAAAACATACTTTTATTACACATATCACAAATCCACTTAATTTATTAGACCACATAGTCCATTTAGTAATAAAACTAAAATGAGAAATAATTTAAAGTTTGAGCAATAAAATATACTTTAAAAACTATAATGAGGACTAAAAATAAAATATTTTTTTTAAATATTTTATTTAATTTTATATATTTTAAAAATTACTTTAAGGAATGTATATACAAGAAAGAAACTGCTTGAAAAAATGAGCAACACATGTTTAAAAGGAGGCCAACATCTTCATAAATACTTAAGATTTGTTCAGACTATACAAACGCAAATACATATAAATGTACTTTCATCCTGATCTCAAAAGACAACTCATTTTATAAACTTTTGTGTAAGAAAATGAAAACAAGTATAAACAAAAAAATTAGAAAAATGGGTACTCTTCTGTTCTGAGGGCTGTAAAAAAATTGCAGCGAAAATGTATGCGCAAAAGCACCAAATCTCGCAAACGCGCCCATTTAACAGCGCGCCAAATCTTGCGTACCCCGCTGGTTTCAGATTGCATAAGTTTATATAGTTCTATATTTCTTAAGACGCCATTGAAATACTAGTCTAATTTTTAAATCCTTTTTTGATATCCTATGGATTTAACAATTTGGGAATTGCCCATGATGAAAAGTCGGCAATAGAATTTTGGGTAAAGTGCAGAATCACTCACTGCTTGACGCGTTTTTAAGAATTGCACATACTCAGTATCCATGTGCACATCGACCTATTTTCATTTAAAAAATAAAATAAAATTGACAAAAATCCAATTGTTTTTACCATTGTAAAAAGCAGTAAACAAATAAGTGAGCGATTCTGCACTTCTGAATTCCAATTCTGAATATTTTCAAAGAAAAGGCATCATTCATTATAGAAAATTACGTTTTAACAATGAACGAGATGAAATTATGCTTTAGCGATAAGTCGGTAGCGAAATAGCAATGCAGGCATCTATTCAGTTATGTTTAGCAATTTTTATATAAATTATAATAATGACCTGAAATAGTCATTTACTCTTATGCTTCCATTTAGTCATGTTCAGCCTTTTTCATATAAATTATAATAATAAAAAAGTATTATACGAAATTAACCTTTCATCTAAATTAAAACATCAATCTTAGATAGTTATTTACTATTTATACTTCCTTTCTTGCCTTCGAAACCGTAGTACCAAAAAATGAACCTGCAATGGCGTGAACTGCACTGGACCGAGAAAAGGAGAATTAATCAAACTCTAAATTTCATATACATTTTAAGACCCAATGATAAGATTAAATGAGGGTGGATCAGAGCCACTTTGAGCTTGGATTTTAATTTCACTAAAATTAAAATGCGACTTCTCCGACTGGAAAAAAAATCTTTTTATGCAAAATACTTATTTCTTAAGTAAATATTAATAAAAATATTTTTATTAATTTAATTCCTATATGTTATCTTACTAAATTTAAATTAATGACATTAAACCTAGAACTGCTGAATTCCAGATTTCTAATTTTGTATTGTAGTACATCATTGAATTTTAATAACTAGAAAAATATTTTTAAAAAGCAAAGCATAATCTTACCTAGTATTTTTGCGCATTAAGCTGCTGAGGAATTATTAGTAAAGACAGAAATTTAGAATTTTTCATATAGGCCAAAAATTTAAATTTATAAGTAATAAATTTCAAATAATCCTATAAATGCAATAAAGAATTTAAAAAATGTTAAAACCAAAACTCTTCAAACAAGCAATATCCTAATTCAAAATATCGATGAAATTTAAAGAAAAATTTCTTACTAAATTTTAACCTTCTAACCGGCAAGGTATACAAAATATATCAAAGAAATTAAGGCAATAAAAGTAACTAATCCAGGTATAAAATATCAAGAGAATTTTGGCATTAAAAATCAAGAAAATAATTTTCTCATAGTAGTTTTGGGAAATTTCTTAGTGAAAACCCTGGTTGGACAGAGGGTTAATAGATATAAGAAGAAAATTCAGTTGTAGAAAAAGCATATTTTTTCCCTAAATCTTGTACAATACGAATATATAATATTAAACATATGGAAAAAATAAGGAAAAAGCTTTAAAATTTATTCTGACAGCTACATAAGTGTTCCTCTCATAAAGTAGTAAAGCTGGAATAAATGGACGCCAAATTTTTCCTGAGTTAGGCTTAACAGCACAAATTGCCTGTCACAAGACACTGCATGCTGTTAGCGTGCCTTAAGAGAGCACTTTAGTGAGGTTCCCACCATTAAAAGATTAAGAGCAAAATCTAATACTGCATCATTAGAATAATTTGTCATTTTACATACATCTTTTATTTTAGAATTTTCGCACAAAATAAAAATGTACCGAATGAGGGTATAAAGTAATCCTCATTCTCAATTATTCGAAATGCAGAATTTTTTAAATATATAAATTAATAACTTTAAATGATACAGTACATTCATGGTTATCATCACCAAGTGTGGTTAATGTCTAAGAATATCCACAATGAGTTCAGTGTAACTGAATTATTTACAAAAAACTTCAGATCACTAGATAATTAACACAGCTTTCATAGCTGCCCACCTGCAGGTAAACAGATTATGACCATTGAACGAACACTCACAGTTCAAATAAATTTCAATGAATGGGCTAGCTACATCCAATAAAATCATAAAATCTTTAATTTACCTTAAAATTTTAACAGTTTGCGACAGATTAACAAACTAAATGATAACTTAAATAATAATGTCATCTCGCTGGTTGTTCAAACATAATTTTCTATAATGAATGATGCCTTTTCTTTGAAAATATTCTCGGTAAAGTGCAGAATCACCCACTTATTTGTTCGCCGCTTTTTACAAGGGTAAAAACAATTAGATTTTTGTCAATTTTCTTTTACCTTTTAAGTGAAAATAGCTCGATGTGTACATAAATAGTGTGTGCAGTGCCATTTTTGTGCAATTCTAGGATTTTTTTTAAAGTGAAAATAGGTCGATGTGCACATGAATACCGAGCATGTGCAGTTCTTAGAAACGCGTCAAGCAGTGGATGATTCTGCACTTTACCCAAAATTTTATTGCCGACTTTTCCTCATGGGCAATTCCCAAATTGTTAAATCCAATGGATATATTAAAAAATAAATAAATAAATAAATAAAGTAGTATTTCAATGGCGTCTTAAGAAATATAGAACTATATAAATTTACGCAATCTGAAATCAGTACGTTCGATAGATTTGGCGTGCTGTTTTAAATGGGCGCGTGTGCTAGATTTGGCGCTTTTGCGCATACATATTCGCTGCAATTTTTTTATGGCCCTCAAAACAGAATAGTACCCATATTTTTTGCAAAGTTAACCCATTACAAGTCAATTCTCATTATTTGTTAATATGGTATCAGTTACATTTCCCTCATATGCCTTCACATAGCAATAAAAGAAAGAAACAAAGCTACCATTAGCAACCAAACCTTACACAAAGCAAGTTTCTGAACAATGTACACATTTTTAGAAATACTTAATGTTCTCATAATAGCATGTTATTATGAGAGTATTAAGAAATTTTTTATTTTATTTATGAAAGGACACCTGATTGTGTCACCACACTGAAACATGAAAAGCTTTTCTGGTCATGTTAAGATGCATAATTTTTAAAAACTACTAACTGCATATTTAGTAAAAGCCTAACTATCCAACATTCGACTAACAAGAATATATTAGAACTTAAAAAAAACTTTCCCTTCCAAGAAATTAAGCAAATGACAGACTTCTAAAGCCACTAGAAGGCACATGCAGGATACTGTTGCTGTCTCAGTAACAGATAAGCATGATAGCACAACACTATTGTTAACAGCTTTGCTTTGGTTATTGAGTTACAAGATCATGACATTAAAAAAAGGACACTTTTCTGTTATTGAGATCAGATTCAGAAACATTTGTATGCACATTACATTTCTGAATATTCTCACTCAATTTTAAGACTTTTTCATACTGAGAAATTTCTGACTGTCATATTATCATCATCAAGATTTTGCCAATTTCTGAATTGCTTTATTACTACAAAATGCCTGTATTGCTATATCATTTCAACTTCCACACCTTATTGAATGCAGTTTTTCGAATACAGATTCATTCATTACTTTGAGATAGGGCCTCACCCAAGCATCCAAGAAAACTGCACTTATAGTTTACCGAAGAATTTGATCCTGGTAACAGATAAGTACCAAAATAGTGGGTGTTAATGAGCATATGAGATTAGAAAACAATAGTAATAAATCATGAAAAATTAAGTTTTTAATAGATTAGCCATTTATATCCAAAATTTTGCAAACTAAAGAATGATCTATTGATACGGCCAGAGACTGGCACAGTCCCGTCTTTGCCAACATTTATGGTCAACAAGACTTCATTAACTGGATAACTAGTCGTATGTTTTAGGCTTAGGAATTTCATAATATACCTTTCATATGTACCAAATATATCTGCTTTATGCTCAATATCCTTACATAATTTTAAATGTAGGCTTTCTAATCAAGATAACAAGCAAGATAATTGGGTTAGAGTTGACCTTGTATTATAGCAAAGTTGTTTCATTTATGGTAACCTGAGTAGTTGAATGTTATGAAAACCCCATTATGACATAATCGTTTGCATCATTCCAAGAAATTTTGAATCATGGGATGCTTCGCAAGGTCTTTTGTGGTGTGTGTTTAGGAAATACATTGCTTGTTTCATTGTTTAGACGGTAGAATGACTGTGTGTAGTAAGATTAATTTGAAGTTTCTGTACGGTTTAGAACGAAAGTGGAAAAAGTGCATTAACTTACTAGTGCGTAAATGAAGGTTTACTTAGTAGCCATTTTTGTGACAGTCCGGAATACGTAGGATGATTTAGACCCTTATTTTTGTGAATTTATGTGGCGACGCCAATATATGAATTCTAGTTCAGATAATTTTAGGAAGTTTTTGGATGCTGTTAAGGAATTTTGTATACCACAGAGGTAAGTGGATATTTGCTTAGTGTAATGCTTAAATAAATAATCCTTTTTTATGTTATTTATCGTTTGGTTTAAAATGTAGTTTATTGAGATTATGTATTTTTTGTTTGCCTCTACTGTAGAATTGGGTGCTCCTTTGACTTTTTAAGTGAAAATATATTGGTGTACATGGGCAAACTCAAGGCAGTGCACAAAGCTTAGTTTGTGCAATTCTGGGATTTTTTTTTTTTTTTAGAAAGTGAAAATAGGTTGATGTGTACATGGATACCAAGTTTGTGCTATTCTTTGTCTTGATATATTATTAAAATCTTTACCTATAGCTTATTTCAATGGAGTATATGCACAATAGAAGATTTAGATTTTTATGTCTTATGATGTTATTCTAATTAGGTAGTGCAGAAGAATTAAGTTTAACTATCACATCAGTCAACTTCAAAACTAATTTCAACTGTTTAAAAATTATATTTTTACAAATTTAAGTAAAATCCTAGTATATGTTGCAGCCTTGGATTGATTTTGAAAATTATTGCTTACACCAAAAAGTCACCAGAAGTACCCAAAATCCTGTGTGCACCGTAGACTTGGATTAAACCCAAATTTCTAATTGGAAAAATTTACTGCCCCCTTTCCAAGATGTACATACCAGAAATCAACAATTCTCCACTTAAATAATTACTATTAGGTCCTCAGTTATGAATTCTAACTATACAGATTTATTTGCCTGGACTGCAAAGGCAGATCTCGAGTAAATCGTATGGTCAGAATGCAGAATGATAACAAGAGAAGCTTAGAAACTAAATTAAACACAGTCCTCTCAGGAAACTTCAAAAGAATGATTGAAAACTCATTCAACGAGTCTAGAAATCAAAGAATAGTGCATTATGGAGATAGGAGAAAGCATCAAATCGAATGGCCAAGGTACTATCTGATATCTGGTTATAATGACATCTTGAGTATTTTCTACTGCTGAAGATTTACAATACTACAACTAAAAAGGAGGGTGAAGAAAATTACCAATTTTCGGCTAAACTGGAGATTACGGTCCTGTCGCCAAATGAAGCGAAATCGCACTAAATCTAGTAACCTCTTGGCATCATTAAAATTGTTAGGGTTTATGGTTACATTTTCCATTTACAAAAGAGAGATTAATAGCATTATTAGTCACTTTGGTAGAAGTTTACAATTGCGTGTCCCTTGTTTTTTGGCGCTTGCCAAGATCGGTGCCAGGAAGGCACAATTTCAAGATGGTCTCTACACAATACCAAAATAAGAAGTCAAAGAATTGCACAAACTTTGTGTCCATATACAGTACAAAGTCTTTAATACAGACTCGTTGATTCCAGATTATAGATCATCAATTTAAATCTGAAGCACATAATGGCATTTTTGTGCAATTCTAGGATATTTTTTTAAAGTGAAAATAGGTCGACGTACCCATGGATACCGAAAAAAATGCACCAAGCAGTGGGCGATTCTGCACTTTCCCCACTGTAATAAGCAGTAAATAAGCAATAAATGATCGGAAAGCATCGATTCGTATTTAAGCCAAAAGTTTACCAGATTTGGCGCAATTTTGCTTCACTTGGCGACTGGACTATAATCTCAAGTCTAGCCCATAATGGGTAAAATTCTAGTAACGGTGCAGCCTTGGCGCGATTTTGAAACTTATCGCCAACACCAAAAATGACCCAAAGAATGTCTATGTATATACTATGTATAACTATATATATTCTTTGAATAACCAGTTTCCTACTCATCATAAAGTCACCAAATCCCGTGTGCACCGGATACTATGATTAAACCCCATAATGTACCACAGAAGAAAAGCTAATGGAATATCTGACCACTGACTAGTTTTTTTCATCATAGTGTCTACATTTTTGACATTTTAATAAGCAAAGATAAACAACTATTGAGGTAACTCAACAATATTTTAAATGAAATACATAATGAATGAAAAGTTATAATCTTCCTAAGAATGCTTCCATTTAGATGGGGAAATTATGATCATTAACATGAATTTCACAACTTCTTAAAATTATCTTTAAACTTAAAATAATTATACAATCATATAGATGAATGAAACCTAATCTAATAGATGAAAAATCCCTAATACAAAACAAAATGAGAGGGAAAGAAAGACATTGTTATAACTCATTCAGTAAAAGATAAAGATTACTAGTCAACAACAAATGGCTGATGAAGGCCGAAATAAACCATTCATACAATAAAGCCATTCATACTACTGAAAATTATAAATTATCGAATTAAAAGTTTAAATAAATATTTCCCGCATTTAAAAATTAATGGAAACATTATTTTCTACTTCCTTTAAACATTTTATTTCAAAATACACAATCGGCTACATTATTCTGTTGAATTGCATCACACAGATAATTTTTTAAAAGTTCCAGTAATACTTTAAATTAGTGTGATAATCGTAAACAGTAGACTATAATTCATGAATTCGATTTAAAATATCTCTAACAGCTGCAATACATACTGCGTTTTATATAAATGTTTAGTCACAGCTACAAAAACGTAACTATACGGTCAACATTATTTCATATATTACTAATAAATGTTACGCTACATGATCTTAGTTGAATGAAAAATTCAAACCATTCCCTATCTCTAAATCTTCGATCTTTACATAGCGATAATACTGAAATGCATAAAAAGGAAAGTCTCCAATTGCATTTAAAATCTAAAGCATGCTTTAGAAATAATTTCTATCTTTTGCTTGGGCTCTATAAAACAATAATAAATACAAAAGTTTCGATTATTTTACCCTCGTTATACTTGCATCAAAATGTTCCAGCAGTAAATTACTAATATACACACGGTATAGCATGTAACAGCTTCGAAGTAGGATGCACATGGTAAAATTCCTAAGAACAATTAACATCGCTGAATATTACCAGAAACGTAGAGTTTAATGCAAATAAATCTATCGAATGTTATATACTCATAACTACAAAAATTAGATTTTTAAAAAGCAATTAAACATCTAAAACAGCTACATTAAAATGAACAATAGAGAACAGTACCTTTCCAGCACTATTAGGCCTAACAGACTTTGCTCTCGAAAAGCTATACGGTGTAATTATTAAGAAGATTTTATACTTTTATCAGTAAAGCTGATACCAAAATATTATTGCTTATAATAAAATTTAAATAATTTGTTAAAAAAATTCCTGATATTAAACACTTTAACACAATTTACTTCAACCTATGAGACACTGCACAGAACATACGGCATTCGGTTTTGGTTGATATCTAAATCAGACTTAACGCCCTCTACATTCGTCACTGGTAAACTGATACAGCCTCACTTCAGACTTTAATTATGATTGAAAAATTATTTATATCCACATTCAAATATTTTACCTTATACTTTTCTTTACCAACAGCAATAATGGCCTCACAACTTGTATTTATACAAAGCCCGCTAAAAACACGCCGCAGAAACCGTGGATCTACGTATAACACCCCTTTTAGAAAATCAAGTTGCCATTTTCAAAACTATAGGTAGTGTTTCATTGCCTTTAATGTCTCTAAGAACCACAGATTATGGATATGAAAAATTGGAAGATTGTTATGAATGCGTGTGTGAATATAATATAAATGCGTGTATAAGCAAAAGTACGTACTCTTACGTCCATGTATACTTTTACTTAAACGTAAAATCATACGTATCTGAGCAAAAGTAAATAGCCTCTTGATCTTGAGATTTTATATAATAAATAACCCTGTGGTTCAGTGTCAAATTTTTAAATATTGAGAGTTCATAAGAAAATGAAATTCGCAAGTGGTAGGACGGAAATTAAGGATAAATGATAATCTGAACGTAATTAAACAGTTAGCAGGGGGTTCATTGAGTATGTGTAACTTTAACCTTACTTACAGTTTACAAAATGCTTACAAAACTTTTTATCAAATATTAATGCTCTATACTAATAACTCTCTTTTGAAGAATTGAAACGTTTGAAAAACCAACTTTTTCGCTTTTTGCTGGCTCTGTAAAAACATGCCCAACTGATACGACTTAGCCCAGGTATAAAAAAATTGTAACTAACACACCTGTCATTCTGACAGACCCACTAACAGTCATTCAAGAGGTGGAGGTACTGTTTTTCTTGTCAAGAGCTCTATCCCTCACTATCCAACAACAATACAAATTTCAACCATACAGGACCCAGCTATTCATGTCACTTGCATGCACTTTGTCTCTACCTTTGTATCTCTTACTCGTAGGCAACAACATGTTTCTATGACAATAAATCATCATAGTTCATCAACCACGCATAGAACCTAAATGACCAAAATGCAGACACTGTGCATAGCTACAATTCACATGCCTTAGGACACATCGTATTCAATATGGCCCAGTCTGCCAGAATACGAATAGCAGCTCCATCCAACCCAACATGGTATAATACTGTTTCCAGTGGAACAGACGTTCATAGACGTCTTCTTACTCAGAAATAGTAGTTGTCCGCTGGATATTTCTATGCTGGATGAATTAGCATCAGAATATAATCAGGTTCACATCTCTCCCTTGTTACATTCCACTAGACAATGTAACCGTTGTTACAAATTGGCAAAAATTTGGCAAAGATCTGAATAACACCCAGCAGATGCTTCGAACAATACAGTCGGAGGATGACACTGACAGCTTGGTCAAGATAGCGGGGCACCTGCCTTGAAAAATCTTGTTAGAACGAGGAACGCTGTTCGCAGAGATTGTCAACAGACTGCATGATGCTGTCAGGTCTCTAACCAATAACCAAGCACTGCTCAGTTGGACGAATTATATTAATTAGGTATAATCCTAGGAGAGCCCACACCCTTGGCGACAAACTGGGAAAGTGCAGAATCACACACTGCTTCACGCGTTTCTCAAAATCGCGAACTTAAAATAGCAAGTCAAAGAATAACACAAGCTCGGTATCCGTGTACATATCTACCTATTTTCACTTAAAGAACATGAGAGAATTGCCCAAACGTGGCATTGCACACTTCCTTGACTTTGTCCATGTACGTATCGATACTTGCCATATAAGTGAGTGCTCCAAGGGTTTGGGCTCTGCTAGGATCCAACCATTAATTACCTTACTGAGGATAAAAGTTCTCTCTGACGAGCTGCCGCACACCTCACTAAAAATCACAGAACCTTTCCATTCTTAAACGATCTTACTAGGATCCATTGTACTAAAATTGAGAAAGCAGAGCTTTTAGCTACCAATCTAGAATCTGAGTTTTGCACAAACAGTATTCACTATAACCAAACATAACTTGATGCTTCAGATAATCTGCATCCATTCACAATAAATCTACATGCCAACAACATCAGTCCAATATTCCCTTCTAAAGTCCACGGCTATATCATAAAAATAAATAACAAGAAGAGTCCTGGTTTTGGCAAAATCACCAGTAAAACGGAAAAGAATTTCCCATTTTCCACCACTGAAAACGGTCTTTCTGCTGATGAAAATAAACCATTCTGAAACATGAGTACTTCCCATCCCACACTGGAAAACAGCGGTCATTTCATCCATAATTAAACCAAATAAGCCTTCTGCTTCGCCAGCAAGCTACCGTCCAAACAATATGCTATATTTTATAAGTAAGATCGCCTAAGCGATAATAATAGCAAGACTCAATGCCCTCATTGATGTCAATAGAATTATGATTCCACAACAATTTGGTTTTGGTAGAAACTTATCAAATGTTGAACTGAGGCAACGGGGCCCCTGTTCTCTGGCGTATAATAGTAATAATAATAATAATGTTGAATTGAATGGTTGAACTAATTTCTGAGGGGCTACAGAAAAAGGAGTATACTGTTGGACTTTTCCTTGATATAGTCAAAGCTTTTGATAAAGTCTGGCTGGAGGGCCTCATTCACAAATTACTTAGCTTAGGATTTCCAGACGAGATCAGAAATATTATTAATTCCTACTTAACAGGTAAAATTTTTCCTTTTTCGGATTTCAAACATATTCTCCTGCCGCTATGCTCTTTTAACTTGTGCTCTTTACTCGGGCTTACACTAGTCAACTTATACGTGAACGACGTCCTTATTCTGATGTGGTATCCCACACATTACGCGGCATCCCACACTCTAGCACATTATCGATCAACTAGCGATCGTTTCACAAAATGGTTTTCTTCGTCCAGCATTACAGCAGTGGAAAATCACATCCATTATTAGAGACATGGCACCTGAACTAGAAAATTGAAATAATGTGTACAAATTCCCCAGCAGTTATCTTCACGAAGAAAAGAAAATCACTGGCAATCTTTTCTTCCACTGGATCACTGGCATCCAGTGGTCATCCAGTGGTGCAAGCAATAAGGCAAATCATATTGCATGGTTTTGTGGCTTGAAAATCACTGGCATCCTTTTTTTTTCATGGTCTTCAAGGTTCTCATACTATACAAAAGACGTTTACGTCCTATACTTTGTTACTCCTGCACAGTTTGGGTATATTCCTCATGTACTAGTCGCAAACAGTTACAAACGGCTCAGAACTCCATCTGAAAAAATATCCGCCTGTCTAAGGTAAATGAGGAATAAATTTATGAGGAAAATAAGCAACCCAGCTACGTGCCTACTATCCGCTATTCCAGCGCTCTGATACACCATCTAGTGACTAAAAGGTGGAAACATTAAAAATCCGTATTTACGTTTGACAATACTACGTAGTTTGTGAAGCGTGCTGTGATCGAAAAGTAATTAAACGTTTATTTTTTATTGTTGTGGGCATTATGTATAACTTAGAAAAGTATAGACCATACGTTTTGTTGGTCTATAAGCAGAACCCAGTGTTATTCACCCCAATAATACGTGACACTCCAATAATCAGACCCCAGTGTTATTTTGACAGTGCTTAAATTGCGCCGGAGCTCACAGGAGCCCGGCTCCGGTACTTCTGCATTTTTAAGATAAATTACAATTCTAGCCGGAGCACACCGGAGCCCTAAATAAGATGAGCTCCGGTACTTCTCTTATTATAAAACTGAAGCCACAAGTTTAAAACGAAAGAAAAATTTATAATTCCTAACGTTTAGTTTAACAATAAGCAGATCGTTGCAATACTCTATTTCCACAGAAATACGAAGCTCATAAGAACATGAGATGTTCAAATTAAAGTCCCCTCACTCACAATGCGGAAAACCTTTTGGGGGACCTTTCCCTTTAAGAAGAGCGTAATACATTTCTCGTCATGCCATCGTATCTAGTGTATTGTTATCCTCGCAGGAAGGAAAATTTGTGTTCTTAAATGTGCGTTAAGTGACAGCGAGTACAATAAGAGGGAAATACTGAGATAAACTTCTCAAGCTTGTCCTATATACATCGTCTTCCCACAGTATCCACTAATGGAGGGAAAGCGTAACCAGCAACTCCACATACATCCTTAGGAGTCAGATTCCGGACTCATTTTACCCCTGACACACATCTGCTTCATGGCTATAATTACATGAGCAGAGAGCCGCGTTTAAAGAGAACGTTCTCTCTCACCAAGTTTTCCCTCAGTTTTTTCCACCCACTCATACCCTCATTCTGTTTCGGCCTGAAATTTTCATCAGCTATATTTTAAGTATATTTAATTTTTGTGATGACAAAAGAACTTTTTCCTTCCCTACGATCAGAGCTTAAATTGGGCCGGAGCCCACCGGATTTCAGCTCCGGTGCTTCTTAGTTTTTGTAATAAATCATAATTCCAGCCGGAACGCACCGGAGCCCTTAATAAGAAGGCTGTGGCACTTCTTTTATGTAATTGAATAACAATTTCAGTAGAAGTTTTATCTCGCAAAATTTATTTTAACAATAAAATTATATTAAAAATCGCTTATTAAATTTAAAATATATATCTTTACATTTATTTAATTTTAATTATTTAATTACTTCAATCTTTAATTATTTCAATACATGATAATTAATTATCTATTAATTATCATTTAAATTATAATTAATTAATTATCTAATAATTATGGATTAAATAACAATTTATAAACTTTAATTAAATAGCTATTAATTAATTTGATAATAATTAACTATTTAATTTTAAAATTATTAATGAGTTTATTAGTCATTTTATTTATTTATTTACTCTTGTTCCTCTTTGCTGACGGTCTTGCATAGGGCTCCGGCACTTCTAATCTTAGAAATTAAGCCCTGATTCACGAGCTCGCAAGGAACCTGAGTTATGCTTCCATCGCATTCTTGATTCGAAAAATATCGAACAATATAGCAAAACGAAGAA